CAGGGGGTCCCCCCGCTCCCGCCGAGGGCGCGGCGCGGAAAGCGTTCAACGAAATCTTCAAGCTCCTGCTCATTTTAGGCGCTCGCGTCACGATAGCGAGGGATTTTTATTTTTTTTTATCGCGTGTTTGGAGGGAGTCCTCCCCGCTCGAAGCACGCCTTGGGCTGAGGAATGCTGCAAGCTCCTGGAAACACTGCGAAAGCCCGTCCTCATCCGCAAAGGTTGAGGGGTCAACCACGAGCTTGATCTGCTGCCACGCGTTGGGTTTTCTCCTGGGCTGCACCTGCAGGGCGCAGGGCAGAGAACGAAGGGTTTTCACTCGGCTTCGCTTTCCAAAAATGATTCCTGTGCAGGCTGAAGGGATCGTTTCATCGCAAGCGATGAGCGAGGAGGGAGGAGAAAGCAAACGGGGACTATCCACGGTTATTGTTCAACCTGCCAGGAAGTCCCTAAAGCTCTGGATGCTGGAAGAAACAAGGTTACGGCCAGGGAAACACTCTTGGTTTCGATGCTAAGTCGATGCTCGGCGTCTCTCTGAAGGTTTCCAGCCCACAGCAGTCGCTTTTCCACTTTACCAGCTCTTAAAAACACCACGGGGAGTCTCAGGTCGGGGAAAGGCGACGGGTTTGGATCCGCAAAACCAGGTCGCTTCCAGGCAGCCGCGAGCGTGTCCTTTCCTCCGGATCCATTCGAGCGTGCACAAGCGCGCAGCAGGCGAGCACCGCGGGCAGAGGGAGCCTCCTCCTGTCTGCAGCGGGTGCTAGCAAGGCGCTCGGTGAAAGATCTTCCGCCCAAGGACCGATTCGGCTTCCGAAAATCATTCCCGGCGGGGATGAGAGGCCCAGACACCTCCGACAGCATCGGATCACGCACGGAGAGAGGAAGTTTCAGTCCCAAAAGACGCTGTTTGTCTTTGCAATTAATAACCCTACGCAACTCTCCTCCAGCTCTCCAAAACACGGGGTACTTTTTAACCAAACACCCACAGCCTGTCCCCAAATACATCCCTTGAGGGCCAGAAAAATCAGCATTGGTATCAAAAACTGTCTAAACCCCCGCATACGTGTGACCCCGTAAGGTTTGCAAAGGAAGCTCTGGGAAAAAAGGGGAGGATTTTCCCAGCAGGACAAACACCACTGCCTTCCGTGCTCGGAAAGCTCTGCGCAGCAGGGCCTGAGAAATCACGACGGTTTGATGCACTAAAAGGCTATTTTTGGTAATTTGTAGGAGGCGCTTTGCAGCCGAATGATGATTTTTACCGCTCCCCAATTGGACTCGCCTCAGCTTCGCACCCGGGCTTTGCGAAGGAAGCAAAATCCCAAGAAACTCAACTCCTCCCGAAAAACTTCATGTTTTCTGCAGTTTCCTCCGCAACGTCGTGTTACAGCTTCGTCGGAGCATGCGAGCGCAGCGGGGCAGAGGTTGGGACGAGCTGCGTATCGCCCTCACGCCCAAACCCAGCGCCCAACGTCCCCCAGCAGCTGAGATCACCTTCGTACACTAAAATCCCTGACTCCAAGCCTTAAAAATCCCAAATACCTGGATCAAAAAAACCCACGGTGCACCCGAAACGCCACCCTGGGTCCTTGCCACCACTCGGGCAGGGCCAGTTCGCGGCTCCGGTGCCAAGATCCGTCTCCTTCCCCGACCGAACGGCATGTGCCGAAACGGGGATGGATCCGAGGATGGATCCAGGGAGGGCAAATGCCAAATCGGGCATTGCTGGTCCACCCGACCGCTAAAATAATTAGCCCCCGGTAGCGCAAACCCATCGCTGTCAGCTGTTTAAGGCAGCGGGGCTGTCTGAGGACGTGTCTCAGAGCTCCTTGCCTGAAAATCAAAGATAAGCCAGGATGGGTGCCCGACCTTCACCCCTGCGCTGCGAGGAGCGGAGATATCCAGAGGACCGAGGCTCCGGGTGAGATGGTTGCAGCTCTCCTCCAGAGTTTTCCCCCTTGCCGGTGCTCAAGTCAGTCTCTACGCAGCCATCCTGGGAGAAACGGGATGAAAAGCTCCGTTTTAAAACCCAAACCTCGCGTGTCGAAGGCACCCCAAGGTCCGATGTCACCGACCCGGGACCGGGCACCCCCCGATTTCACCTCGTCGGAGGCACGCGAGCGCCGTTTCCCCTCCTGACCTCTCCCTGACGTGGCCGTCGAGTCTCTCATTACTCGCTTAATCACGGAAAAGCTTCGTTATGAGAACACTCACGCCCGCCGCAGGCGCTCGCAGAGATAAATACAACAGCTACTGTCCCGGGGAGCTTCCCACATGAGCTCTGTTAAGCGCTCTCGCTTATTAACGACATTAATCTCCCTGTACCTGCCACCCGAGCGTCTACCTATTAAAAAAACCCCCAAAGCCTCGATAAATTGGAAAAAACCAGCGGTTTAAACGTTGCCTTTCAACGCTGTCACCATCCAGCCACCCGTTCTTACGCTGAGAAGATAAAAAGGAAGAGGGGGTTTACTTTCTGCCTACCGTCATCTCCCTTCTCGTGTGTCAGCTCAGGGAACAAAGCAGCTCTAATCCTTTCAGTCTCTGCGAAGAGGAGTCTGTCCTCATTTCCAGTAACTGATTCTGCAACATTTTCAGTTAAAAAAAATAAAGTTAAGAGCTGATCTGACCGGAGCATTCAAGGTACAGATGTGCTAATAATACAAATTATGAAATAGAGAAGGGCTCTGGAGTCCGTGGTCGGCAGCGAAACCGGAAGGCAAGCTGGCATTCAGCTGTAAGGGGTGGAAAAAATAATCACAAGCGATGACAGGCAGGAAAAAAACGTGGTGAAAGGGAACTAAAAGGAGAAAGACACGAGGAGAGAGATGAGCAGAGACACTCTGGACCCCCCCCCAGCGAACAGACACCCCGCAGACCCCTCGGTTATTTAGTTTTTGGGCCCACGGATACGCTCGTGCAGCTCCTGACGTGGCTGTGCAGGCAGGGCTGCCCGCAGGTGACCGGAGCCCTGGGCTGGAGCAGGCAGGGAGCCAGCGGGGCCGCCGAGACATCGCCAGACCTCGAGCTCTGCCGTGAAAACCACCCGTTTCTGCAGCGCCCGGATGATGAACGACAAAACCTTCATCTTCTCGCAAAAAAAAAAAACCCCTGCCTTTGGAACGCTGCCCCATCTCTGAAATTTCCGCGGAAGCTTCTGATGCAGAAATGCAATTAAGGAAACGCGGCTTGTCCACGAAACGCGTCACCCGCACCCAAAAACCGACGCCCACAGAGGGCACGTACAGCCGGTGCGGGCTGTCATCGCGCCAAAAAAGACGCCAGAAGATGAGAAAAAAAACCCCTTTTTTCCTTTGAGCTGCTGCATGATGCTTTGAAGTTTTCTCCGCTCTTCTGCCGGCGACGTCCTTGATGCGCAGGTAGACAGCTCGAGCGGGGTCAGGGGACTCGTCTCACGCCGTGTTGGCTGTCAGGGCTGCGTCCCCCGCAGACGTCTCACCGTGTCCCAAGGGGATGGCGACCGCCCGGCGCGTGGCTGGGACAGGGTTTCGCTCCTGATCTCGCCCCGAAATCGCCCCAGGGCTCCGCGGCGGGGGGACACACACGTCTCCCCACAGCGGACGTGGACACCCTGGTGAGGGTGGGCTGGCGAGGATCCCAGCGAGCACCAGCAGGTCACCCCGCCCCCTTCC